TTACTCTGCACTTTGTCTCTCTTAGGACTTTCTCTACTCTCTTTATTATCCCCTCTCTCACTCCTCTCTCTCTCATTGCTTCCACCAATCTGTCTCTGTCTACAGAGTCAAACGCTGCCTTCAAGTCGACAAACACATTGCCACTACCTTTCCCCATTTCCTCTCTATTTGCCTGTTAATTAGATAATTTAACACATATATGTTATCTATCGTCCCCATATTCTTCCTAAAACCTGTCTGATTCTGTGGGATTATTCTCTTTTCTTCCAGTTCTTTATCTAATCTCTCTGCCAGTATCATCACATACAGTTTATATAAGGACGCCAAGAGAGTTACTCCTCTATACTCCTCCACCCTCCTCCTTTCTTCCTTCTTGACAATTGGCACGATAATCCCTTCCTTCCATTCTTCCGGCTATCATTCTCCCCTCCACACTCTGTTACAGAACTCTCCTATCCATTCCTCTATGTCCTTATCTCCATACTTCCATACTTCTCCTGGGATCCCATCAATTCCACATGCTTTACCCTCTCTTAATTTTCCTATTGCCCTCCTTATTTCTTCTTTGTCAATTTCCTCCTCCACCTCCTCCTCCTCTCCCCTCCCTTCACCACCTCCCATTCCTCTCACCACCTTCCTTTCCATCCCTCCCAACACTCTCATAAAATAATCCTTCCATTCCTCCATTCCTATCTCCTCTCATTTACTCTCCTTCTTCCACCTCTCTCTTTATTCACAATTTCCCATACTTTATTCTCTCTTCTCGTCTTCTCAATTTTTCTCTCCCATCTCTCTCTCTCTTTCCTCTTTTTTCACTCGCACATCCTTGTGTACTCTCTTCTTCTTTTTCTAAACTCTTCCTCTTCCCCTTTACATCTCCTCCACTCTTTTAACTTTTTTCTCACTCTTTTCTTCTCCTCCCTGCACTCCTTGTCCCGCCATCTTTTCTGTTTTCTCTCCCCCGATTCTCTCTTCCGTTCTTCTTCTACTTCTTTCAGTGACCTTTTCACTCTTTCACTCATACACCTTCAATTCTTCTCTAACTTACCATTCCACTTCTCTAAACTCCCCATTTTTTGCTTGAATTTCTCTCTTCTTTCTATATCCCAACTCCTCCTCCAAACTTTCTGTTCTCTACTTTTCCGTTCTCTTCTTATTCTTGTCCCCTTCATCCACATCTCTACCGGATGATGATCTGAATCAATCCTGTCCCCTATCTCCAACCTCTCTATTCTTTCTCTCACTTCCTCCTCCCTTATTACATAATCTATCATAGTGTTTCCTTTTCCCCCCGTAAACTTATATTTACTTTCTTCATTTCCCTTCATACAACCGTTGAAAATGCTCCAACCACTCTCCCCAACCCAGTTCAACAATTTTCTTTCCTCTGCATTAATATCCCATCCTTTGCTTTTCTTTCTCTGCGTTCTCCTTCCTCTCCCTCAAAACCACCTCCTTCCCCACCTACCCTTGCGTTGAAGTCTCTTCCAATTATCAGCTTCCTGCTTACTTCCCTCATGTCCGTCCATCTCTAACTTCCTCCTCATATTCTCTACTCCTTCATTCACATATACTCCTATAATTCTCCATCTCTCCTAATCCACGCTTATCTCGCACATCATTGCTCCTTCTATTCCCCCCTCCAATTTAATCTTTCCATCTGCCAAATCTTCTCTTACTCCCAAAATCATTCCTCCTTTCGCCCTTCCTCTCTTTCCTTCTCTTATAGCCTCTTGTACCCCCCATTTATACCTCTTCGGTACTCTCCCCTTCACTTTATCCCACTCATCTCTCTTCAACCATGTCTCACTTAACACTAGAACCTTCCATCTTTTTAGATTCTCCCAAAACTCCTTATCCTTATTTCTTACTTCCGCAACATTCCAGAACATTATTCTCCATCTTTCCCCTTTCCCTCTCCCTTCCTTCTGCATCGCTTTCCTTTTCTCCCTCTCACTCCTCCCCCCTCCTCTTCACTCTTCTCTCTTCTTCAACCCCCCTCCTCCCTCTACCCCTCCATTACTTCCCCCGTAATCTCCTTTTTTATCATACCTTTTTCATCTATCAGAACCTCTTCATCTTCTTCCCATCTCCATCATTTTTCATTTATTTTTATCACTCTATAGCTCAACCAAACTTTCCTTCTTTCATCTCCTTTCTCGCAATTTCTTCCAATCTCCACCTCATCCTCCTTTCTTTCCACGTCCAATCTTCCACTATCCTTTTTTTCCTCCCTTTCAAGTTTCTTTTTTTCTTCATCACCTCATTTCTTTGCTCTTCATCCTTCATCCTTACCCACACTGTCTCCATTCTCCCATCTCCTCTTCCTAACTTTCTCACCTCCTCTACATCTACCTTTGCTCCTATCTTCTTAAAAACCTCTTCCTCTGCCTTCTTTTTCTCCCCCTCTTTCCCCACCTCTAACCCTCTTATTAGTAAATTTTTTTTTCTTTCTCTTCTTTTTTTCCTTTTCAGTCTTCTTTCGATCTCCCTCATTCTATCTATTACCTCAAGCTTCTCTCTCTCACCTCCTCTTTCCACTCCATTCCTTTTCTCTCTCTTTTTTCTATTCCACCACACTTCCATCTCCCCTACTCTCCTTTCTAACTCTGTTATAATCTCTTCCATTTTTTCTCCTTCTCCTCCCTCTATCTCTTTTCATTCTCTCTCATATCCCTTCTTAATCCCTCCATCTCCTCTTGCATCCTTCTCCCTTGCTCCTTTATTTTCTTTATGTCTTTCATCCCTTCCCTCACAACCATCATCATCTCCCTCATCTCCTCTCTCCACTCCCCACTCTCCTTTTTTAATTCTCCATCCTCTCCCCCTGTGCTCCCCTGCCCCACAGGCGACCTCAATATCTTTTTACTTTTATTAAACGCTCCTTCCTCCTCTTTCTCGTCTTTCTCTCCACTCATCTCTCTTTTCCTTTTCTTCACCAAAAGTTCCCCTATATTCCCTTCACTCGCGCTTTTATTCCTCTTTCCTTTTTCTCCTCCTTTCAATCTTCTATGCATTCCTTCACCTCTCCTGCTCTAAACTCCTCCAGCCAATCACCCCTTTCTATTCCGATATAACCCAAAACTTCCTCTCCCTCTGCCTCTAGTGATTTTTCTTTCTCATCGACTTTTACCTCTATGCTTATCTTACTCTGTGCCTACCCTTTTAACTGCGGGAGTGGTCGTTATATGGACCACTCTAGAGACATAGAATATTTGAAGTTTTTAGATCAAATTTGATGTTCTGAATACATAACAAATAGTTTTAAAATTTCTTAAAACATTCTTGACCTTAAAATACTGATTTTCAAGGTCAAATTTCATTTTTAGTAGAATCGAAGATTTTAGAGTGTTCTTCTATGCAAACTGATAAACTGAATACGAAAAAATTACTGACGCATCCTTGACCTTGAAAAGCTACACTCTACATCACATTTCATTTCTTGCATAAGCAAATGTTGGAGATGACTTTGAAACGTCATTGACGCGCTAAAGTGAGAAAAACCGTAAAAAAATATCCTAAGGAATTCAGAATATTTTTTGACATTTTTTGAGACCCGGCAATAACTTGCTGCGGTTGTAGTAGAAATGAAATTTGACCTCTAAATTGACGTTTGGCATAACAAGAGTGCCTGCGGGATTTTTTGTATTGTTTTTTACGTATTCAGCGCATCAAAATCCGTACGACAATTTTTTCAAAACTCGGCTTATACGAGAAATGCTATTTGACCTTGAAATAGAAATTTTCAAGGTCAGGATTATCAACAGGAATTTTTTTATTATTTTTTACGTATTCAGCACATCGAACTACATACGAAAACCGTCTCAAAACTTGACTTATAGTAGGAATTAAATTTGACCTTCAAATGGTGATTTTCAAGGTCAAGGGTGTTTGCGAGAATTTTGTTACTATTTTTGTCATATTCAACGCGTGAAATTACATAGAAATACCTTCTCGAATCTTCATAAGAAAAGAGACAAATTTTTTTACAAATAAAACAGGGAATGTTTATGGCCATTTGAAGCAAAAAACACAGGTGGTAATGTGTATGTATTATTACGTTACTTTATTCAAGTACGTGATATATAGTATAAAACGTTTTCAGCCTTTGTTTAGGCCTTTATCAATATATATCTACAAAAAATATAAATGTTAGATTCGCACATTTTTTAGAATATATAATTACAACTTACAGAACAATTAGATGTAAATAGTCGCAGAATAACGTACATAAAATGTTGTTAATGATAAATTCTTGAGTCACATGATTTTAAAATGGTAATACAAAAGCAACTAAGACGAAACAGAAATGTTCAACGGTTTAAATATAAATAAAAATGAAAGTCATTGCCATCTCTCAAGCCACACTATAAAGTATTATCAACAAAAGGTAAGTATGATCGATCGAGATTTTCAGTGTCGCTATGTAGGTTAAGACCATGGCTTTGACTTCGTATATATAG